CGTCACGAAAGTCCCACGTCCTTCGGTTTTTCGCACAAACCGTCCCCTGGGAACTTCCGCGGCCACCGGACTCCACGGCACGTGGCGCGAAACGTCGGCGCGAGCCGGAGAACGCGCACGCCCCGGGGGAGTCCGCGCGGAAAGCGGGGCCAAACGGAGGAGAGAGAAATTTCACGGGGGATGCGACCGAAGCGTCGGATGCGGCACGTTCCAATATTTCTACTCGCCCTGTCCTTCCCTCTGCGTACAGTAATGGGCCAAACTTATCTTTTGTGTTTCTTTTATTATTAAGTGAAGAGAGAGAGAGTAGTTTTTTTTAAATATATACCGCGAATCATTTTTCATACGTTTACCACTTCTTGAATTCCCCACCCACCCCGTCGCAGTGGCGAAATGTTAATTACCTCGCCTGGTATACAGGAGGTCGTGGGTTCGATCCCAACCCTGACGCCTGCATATTTGCGTGTCTCTCTCCCCGTGGTCACGTGGATTTTTCTTTCGGTCCTCCGGTATTTCCCTCCGTTTACAATCGAGGTGAGTTTATACTATTTGGCTGCTATAAATTTACCGGTACACATGATGATCATGATGATAAGCCACTGATGTGAGTTATCGTTTGTGGCCAGGTCGCCTCTGAAATATAGCTATGCAGCTCAATGGGCTTTACCTGGTGAAATATTATATATTTTTTTATAATGATATCCGGATGTCGTCTTCATTTCCCCTTTTATTTGTACACTCGTATGACTCACTGGACACCGGCTGCCTCGTGTGAGGATTAACTCATCGTGCTGCGCCGCTTCGCTACGAGAGGAATCACTTCGCCACATCCCTTAACGCGAAATAACCTCTCGCGTTTCTCCGATGTGTTCTCGAATGTGCACTTCACACCCCCCCTCCACCCTTCCCCACTTTGACAAATGGTTCAGAAACGTGGCCCATTGACAAAATATTTTTTTGTAAAAATTTGGAACAAAAAGAGGTGCATGCTTGGCGTTGAGAGACCGAAAAGAGGAAGAGACATGAATTAAACAAAAGTACACCGAGCTAAAGACATAATTCAAACTCTCAAAAAAAAGTAAGTGGGGCCTTGGCCAGGACACGTCGCGGCTAAATACGATGATGGATGCCTGTAATGAATAACGATGGAGCGGCAGCCAAGGGATGGAATGCATCCAAAAGGGAGATCCTCTGAGGGTTGTTACCTCCCTGGACGTATGTTTGTTGAACTTCTTGTGCACCGTACGTAGCCAACCGTGCGAATCCGAGGTGTGCGGGGGGGGGGGACAACAGACTAAGCACATGAAGCAGTTCTACAGAAATTAGTTTTCAATCTAAATGATTTAAAAGTGCGTTTTGGTAGATTCCCAATATCGGAAGGAATAGCGTTTCGGACGACCGCAGAAGGGCATCTGAAAGCGCGCGATGCAGTGACCGTTTTCGTTCGGTGGATCACGTGAGATTGCGGCTTGGGAGGTCTTCATCCAGCAATGGATTGGCCATGGCTGCTGACGCTGATGATGAATGGATTTTAAAATGAACGTCAACCAAATTGGCACGATCAATTTGGAAACGATTTGATTAAATAAAAAAACGAAAGTGTGTCTGCTGCTCAAGCCAGAATGGCTGGGTGCTCATCTTCGCTGGTGGCCAGTGGTGGAATTTCCACATTTCTATGGCAAGGAGCCAGCCTCTCCGAAGGGACATATATGTAGAGAGATGTACAGCACAGCACTTTTGTCCATCCACTGGTGGATTAGGGAAATGAGCAATTACTGTATAATATGAACAGGCTTGTGCCTTCAGAGTGATTGTGGAATTTCCAACGGTGCCTCAACACAAATTTACTTGGCTAGGTATAGAGGTGAATTGACTTTAACCAATTTGTAAAATACATTTTCCAAACACAGCTTGAGTACGACGTTTCGCTGGTAATTACATCCAGCATCATCGGGCAATTCGCCAAACTGTAAATGTTGTTGGATTCACTCTTCAACACACCGGTGGGCTAAAGTAGTGAAGTATTTTGTCTTTTGTCAACGTGACACTTTTTTGCTGATTGGCCGTGTCGGGTGGTGGAGGGTTACGACACATTTATAAATAACGCGATCTAACCCAAAAACCTTTATTATGAATAATATTGGTCGCGAAAGCCTCCTCCCACGTGTTAAACGGAACTGTCCAGACAACTCCGCGTTTTAATGGAAGCGTCGATCTGCGCCGTGGAATTTTAAGGCAAAGGGAGAAAAGAAAGAGAGAAAAAAGTAAGAAAATTTGCGCTGGCGCCAGCGTCGGGGTGGGCGGGGGGGGGGGGCAGCGGCCAAGGACGCCCCTCGCGGCTCCGCCGTGCGGTCGCCGCAGCTGCTGCCTCGTTGACGTTTGCCGGCGTCGGCGTTGGGAGGCGGCGGCGGCGGCGGTGAGAATCGGCCCGCAGACGGCGAAGCGGGCGCCGCCGCCGGCGGGTCTCCAATCGAAGGGGCTGCGACAACGACTCCAGCCCAGGGGTTTCCTATTTAAGGCGGCGGTTTTTAATTGACGATCAAAAAGCGGAGGCTCCGCGTGTCCGGATTTGCTCCCTCGGGGTGGATTTGGGCGCTGCCACCCGGCGGAGGAGAGGCTCCTTCCGACGGAGTCGCTGCCGTCGCTATTCCGGTTGCTCGATTGGATCTCCTGTGCGGGAAAACGCTGCCAGTGTCGTCGTCGTCGTCCTGATCCGTTACGACTTGTCCATTTAGGACGACTCATCCATTCAAATTTCCGCTCAAGGTGTCATGCAGTCGAGTCTCGCGCGCACAGAATCGGTGACAATTTTTTTCTGTATTTCCATTCCGATTTATTGGGCCTCTTGACAGCGAACAAAAGTGCAGCGAACGAGTCAGAAAAAAAGATCGAGAACCAGAGGACAGGGAAGAAGCAAAAAACGAAAAAAGGGAAACCCGATTTTTTTTTCCAATTGAAGCGCCATTTTCTACGAATCGCGACAATTGGCGGAATCGCCCGGGGGGGGGGGGGGGGGTCCCGCGGGCGAATCGTAGCGAGGCCCGAGTGTCCAACGGCACTGAACGCGACGGGTTTCCTTGCGGGCGCGCGGCATCGACGCCTCTTTCTTTGTCTCGGAACGGCCGTCACGAGCCACTGCGTCGGGGACGGCCCCACCGTGGTGACCCCACCGTGCTGACCACACCGTGCTCGCCACACCGTGCTGGCCACACCGTGCTGGCCACACCGTAGTGACCCCACTGTGCTGGCCACACCGTGCTGGCCACACCGTGCTGACCACACCGTGCTCGCCACACCGTGCTGAACCCACCGTGCTGGCCACACTGTGCTGGCTACACCGTGCTGACCACACCGTGGTGACCCCACCGTGCTGACCACACCGTGCTGACCCCGCCGTGCTGGCCCCACCGTGCTCGCCACACCGTGCTGACCACACCGTGCTCGCCACACCGTGCTGACCACACCGTGCTTGCCACACCGTGCTGACCCCACTGTGCTGACCCCACCGTGCTGGCCACACCGTGCTGGCCCCACCGTTGCTGGCCACACCGTGATGGCCACACCGTGATGACTCCACCGTGATGACCCCTCTGTGCTGGCCCCACCGTGCTGATCCCACCGTGCTGGCCACACTGTGCTGGCCCCACCGTGCTGATCCCACCGTGCTGGCCACACTGTGCTGACCCCACCGTGTTGAGCCCACCTTCCTGGCCACACCGTCCTGGCCACACCGTGATGGCCCCACCCGCCACTCCCGTGACCCCCCCCACCTCCGTCGGCTTTCGGAATTTTTTTGCGAACTCATTTTCAGAACGCGAGGAGCTTATTTTGAAACCGCCCTCTTTACGGAGAGCGATGCGACAGCGGAACGGGTGTACGGATGTTCGTGGTCACCACTGTACCGAGAAACGTGAAGTGGGGAGTCCTTGTGCTTTGTTACGAAATGTGTTCATCGTTCATTTTTTGTAATTGCTGACATAAATGCTAACTCTCGGCGTCTCGCCTTTGCACTATACTCATCAGTACGCGTGTATGCTGTACGCCTGTAGCATTAAACATAATATGCAGTTACAAATTAAGTTTCTTTCTATTCGCCGAAAATTGATCGTGCAACAGGATTAATCGTCCGGATTAATGTTTCCCAGTAGCATGAGCTCATTATGATGAAAAGTCAACCCTGTAGAGTGCCGCTTTACATTTGTCCGAGTTTCATGTCGACATGAAGCAGTGCCACTCATGCGGCACTGCGTCATGCGCCATCCGTGAACACTGTGGGAGCCGAACGTTTGTGTTTGTGTGCACTGTTACCATTACGTAACAGCACAAAGAGAGACAAAGAACCTGATGGCCTTAACAGAACTGTTGGGGTGGAAGCGCTGTTGGTGAGTAGCACCTATGAAGGCCGGCACAGCAGACGAGGGGGTGAGTGGCCAGCACCACATCCGGCCGGCTTTGTCTCCCCAGTGGCGATGTTTACACTCCGCAGTAGGTACTCATTTGAGGCTGAGTCGACCTAGGGTAGGCCCAGGACCGGTTAAAATAGTCGTCACTGGTGTTGCCCGTGAACAGGAATCGAATTGGGGTTGCTGGGTTCACAGCGCAGTGCTCTAACCACTACACTACCGCTCCCCATTGTAACAGTCACACACACGCGCACACAGTGTCTCGAACGTAATCTAAAACACAGGAAAGTGGTGGAGCGTGAATGTTTGTGCGCGTGCGTGCGAGCGTGTCAGCTCTGTTCGCGTGTGAACGGAGCTCAAATAAGGAAACCAAAGAACATCCCCTTACATCTTCCTCCGTCGCGTTTCCACACGATGCCCACAGCTGCCACCCCCCCCAGCATCGCCCCCCCCCCCCACCTCGTGCCGTTTAACGCGGCGGTCACTCGGTGGCTCGCCGCCCTCTGCCTAACCGCCCACTCGCTCGTCCACCCGTCTGTCTGCTCGCTCGTCCACCCGTCTGTCCGCTCGCTCGTCCACCCGTATGTCCGCTCGCTCGCCCACCCGTCTGTCTGCTCGCTCGTCCACCCGTCTGTCCGCTCGTTCGTCCACCCGTATGTCCGCTCGCTAGCCCATCCCTGTGCTCTCCGTTCGCTCGCTCCGTCGCGCACGCACGCGGGCGCACCTGCGCCGCTCGGGTTTCCACGATTCACAGAAAGGCTGAGCAGCCGCGGCTCCACGAATTGGAGGAAGTGGGCAGTGCCGGGTTTTGCCTTTTGACACACGTGGGCGCGCTATAAAGAGTCGCTCCCGCCCGCCCGCTTTACTTTTCTGCAAATTAACTTTGCATCCGTCCGCGTGTTGACCGTGAAAAAACCGGCGGACGCGAGGAAGCCGGTTTCTCATTCATTTTGTCGTGCGGGCCTCCCCTGTTTGTGGAAGTGTTCCGAGCGGCAGCGGAGGAATCTGTTTGTTTATTTATTTTATTATCTGAATGCGTTTCAAACATTCATGCTCTATGCATTATTGGGATGTTACTGGTGAGTAAGTACACTGCTGTAACGGGGTCGCTTCTCACCAGGCGGTGTGCGTTTGCTTTGGGCGCAGAGTTATGACTAAATCATCGCTAAGAGAGAACTTGTGGAGAAACGTTCAACTCTCCCGAGGGAGCGCAGCGTTTTTTTTCCAGTCGCGCTGAAATTCACGACCTGGGGAGTTTGTTTGCCGGCAGCCGCCAGAATTTGTGGTTCGCGAATTACGTCTGCTGGTAGAATGCTTTTTTGCCGCCGTACATATCGGGTTTTTCCTCCCCCCCCCCCCCCGGTGGAAAGTGCGGCCGGAGCCGGCAACCACGGCCGATTTTATCCTGGCCCTGCGCAGGACGGTAACCCTTCTGTTTAAATGACCAGTGTCCAGTCGTCTTCTGCGTTCGCATGCCGACGATGACGACGGCGATTCGGGCGACGTCCTGACCGCGACGTGACGTCTCTCTCCCCTCTCCTCCCCCCCCCTCCCGCAGTCTGCGAGTGCTTCATGTGGCGCGGAGATGAGCGGCGGCGGCGGTGGTGGCGCAGGGGAGCGGGAGGCCCCGCCGTGGCCGCCCCAGGACGGGCCCTGGAGGGAGCTGTGCGAGCGACTCGCCCGCGAGGCGGCCACCGACTTTGCGGGGCAGTACCGTGCCTTCACCGCGCTGCACCCGCAGTGGGCAGGCCCGGACGCCGCCGCCACCTTCGCGCAGATCTTCGCCGAGTGCTTCGCACGGCGCTTCCGAGCCGAGGTCGGCCGACCGAGCGGCGCCAACAGGGGAGGAGGACGAGGCGGCGGTGCCGGCGGCAGCCCGGCCGCCGCGAGTAGCGCGACGTCCGAGGAGGCCGCGGCGGCGGCGGCGTCGAAGAGGGGAAGCGTCGGGTCGGACTTCTCGGGCCGGGAGGGCGCGGCGGCGGCGGCGGCGGCGTCGCAGATGGCGGCGTCGCGCCGGCGCAGCACGTCGCAGGAGTTCACGACGAAGCGGGACAGCGTCTCGTTAGACCCGCCGCCGCTCCGCAGCCCGGGCCCCGCCGGCGGCGGCGGCGGCAGCCCCGACGCCTACCCGGCGGCGCGCTCCGCGGCGTCGGAGCGGCGCTCGCTCGCCGAGCCGGCGCCGCCGCCGTCGCCGGAGCCGGCGCGGGACTCCGCCGCCGCCGACGCCAAGTCGCTGAGCTCGGATGAGGCGTCGTCGCTGCGGAGGGGCTACGGCCCCGAGCCGCCCTCGCGCCTCAGGGCGTCGTTCCGGCGAGTGTGCAACATGTTCCGGCTGCGCAAAAGGACGAGTCGGGGCGGCGGCCACCTCGCCGCAGCGAACGTCGCCCGCCGCGACGTGGAGCGGCCGTGCGCGAACGGCGACTCCTCCGGCGAGGCGAGCCGGGAGCTGGCGGCGGCCGTCCCGGGCGCCGCCGCGTCGGCGTCTCGCGAGCGGGGGCGGCCGCCGCTCTACCGCTGGTTCTCGTGGTCCCAGCAGCGGCGCTCGGACCCGCGGTGCGTGAGGCGCGAGGGGACGCTCAGCTACGTCGTGGCGGAGGACGTCAGCGGCAGCCAAGTGCGGTGGCGGCGCTGCCGGCTGCTGCTGTGCCGGGCCGAGGGTCGTAGCGGTGGCGCCGTAGCCTCCGCCGCCGGGTACCAGCTCGAGTTCTACGTCCCGCCCAAGGTGGGTGATGCGCGAGGTTCGCCGAGCCGTCGGGTGCGCCGCGAGGCTGCTGCGATCCGATTCGCCGTGTTGGGGTGCGGCGGGCGGGCGGCCATGTCCTTCGCCGGCCGTACCGTCGCACGGCTTGAGCAGTGCCGTAATGCCTCGCGTCGTACCGGAGTGTAACGGAGGGGGGGTGCTTGAGAGGTGCGCCGCATCGCTGTAACCGCGCGGCAGAAGGCCTCGGGGCCCGGGACGTTCGCGATTCGCTGTTCTCTGATCGAATTTTTGAACTTAATGGCTTTGCGTGTGTTGATCGCGTGAGCGGCACGACAAGTCGAAGCAGTTGTCTGGCCTCGCATATGAGAGAAACAGGGAGCGCTCTGTTGTTGGCTATGATGGTGTGGGCGAGTGGATGTACATACGTTGAATTTAGTTGGCGCAGTGCGTAGCCATACCGTGCTAATCGGAGGTGCCCGGGGGGAAGAACAGCGAACCAAAACACACAAACGCACAGGAAACGCAAAAAACGCACCCAGGGGTTGGGGCGGGGGGGGGGGAAAAGCAGCAGAGGAGGAGACGATGAAAGGGACCATCGGATAAAAATCTCCACTTAGAAATAAAATAAAAACGTTGGTCCTATGTGGCTGCAGTGTACCGTTTTCTCCCAGCAGCGTTTGTGTTGAGCCCTGCGCAACAAACGCACCGCAAACGAATGCCGGTGGAGTCCGCTCGGCCACGTAGACCTCCGGGCAGCGAACGTCACATCCCCGCCACCGCCGGCCGCCACCGTGAAGTTTTTTTTTGCTGCCGTTCAGCGACGCCGAAAGTCTGCCGCCGGGTTATTGATCTGCGGCAGTCGGGCTCGGCGTGACGTCCGCGAGGAGAGGGACATTTCCTTTTTGGAATTCTCCAGAAATGCGAGCGGCAGCGCACCGATAGCGGCAACGGCTCTGAAGGACGACGTTGGGGGGACAAACTCGTTCCGAACGTTGCCCCACGGGTGAGGCCTCTGGCGGCGGCACACATCTGTCACACGCCTCGGCGAAAGGGAGAGTGCTCGTCCGCGGATTTATCAACCGGGCCAAAGGATCGTCATGAAAGTGAATTAAATGAACGGGCCAGATTTTATTATTTGGTTTGGCCACGAGCTGGCTACTGCTTGAGAACCCGGTTTTATGCACGGGGGCGGCTGAAACCCGGATTCGATCCCGGGTCTGGTGTTGACGTTAAGCACGGACCTTGCTTGGCACGGTTTCCCCGGCCCGCCGGTAATAAACGACGCAGTCCCAGGATGGTTGGCGTATAAATCACGCAGCTTAAAATCTTTGCTTGGGGATTTTGAAAAATATTTTTTAAACAAAGTTTTCTATGTATCTTTATATATTTATTTATGTTTTCACTCGCCCCATCTGATCGATGCGCCTTTGCCGCGAGGAGCTGTTTGTGCAGGGCCCACGGTCTTGCACGTTCCGCCGAGCGGGGGCAACGATTTAGCGTCTCCGCTGTGCGGGGGCGGCAGAAACAAAACGGCAAAGGCCCCCCCCCCCCGGGGTCGTGTGTGGGCCCCCAAAAATTCACAGCGGGCCTCCCCGTTGCTCGAATCTCAAAAATGAAGCGCAAACCCGGCATGGCGGTGTGGAGGGATTTCGGAAAACTTGGCCGACGTTTCAACTGCCGCGCCGGGAGACGGAATCGTACCGGGTTGCAAGTCCCCCCGGCGTTGCCGATCGTTACCAACTAAACCAGCGGTCGGCAAACCTGCGGCTCTTTGAAGGACTGCCTCCCGTTGCGTTGGCGGCTCTCGAAATATTGAGTTTTTTATTTGACCGAATTCGAACAAAAATGCCTTTTCTTGTTATTTTGGTTGCTGATCCCGGAACTAAACTCGCGTTACTATTTATTTTATATTTCCGGGTAAGGCCCACTGAGCTATACAGGTTCTTTTCAGAAGCGGCCTGGTTATCACAAATGGTAGCGATAGCGGAGAGTTTGCTGGAAGGTGCTGCCCGGTACAAACTTACTGTTACGGCAAAGGCGCAGGCCCGCCATTGCCAGCTCAACACCATACCAGACCCCTCTCGCGGATTGTTTGGCCTACTCTTCCACCGTTGTTGGCGAGACGTCTCGGAAGTAATGGGAATACCCCCACACTAATTTGGACCCGTAACCTAACCCTGACCTCAAACATAATTCCAAGCCCGAGATACTGCACTCTCAGTCTGGCAGCCTCCCGTCGTAAGAGCCGCAGGGAGATATTTGGCGTGAGACGAAAGGAAGTTATTTAGGCGCGCTGTGGGTACGACACGTGGCTGGCCAAAGATGCCGCACAAAGATTGATTGCCCGCTTTCTTAGAAGTCCAGGATAATGGCAGTAAAATAAGTGAACTATGAAACTGAACTATTTTTATTTTACCAGGTGAGGCCCACTGAACTATACAGCTCTTTTTCAGCAGCGACCTCGCCACAAACGATAACTCAAGAAAGTGGCTTATCACGTGGAAATTTATCGCGGCAAAATGTACTCCGAATTCACGTTGATTCTAAATGTGGAGGGAAAAACCGGAGGACCCGGAGAAAAATCCATTGACCACTGAGAGAGAGAGACACGCAAACTCCAAATATACAGCAGCAGGCGTCAGGGTCAGGATCGAACCCACGACCTCCTGCATACCAGGCGATGTGGTCAACATCTCGCCACCACAGCACCCTTATACATATATATAAAAAAAAAACTCTTATTAAGCACAGACATTAGAATCGGATCTTTATCTTGTGATGTTAGTAAATAGTATCCCAGTTGCTCTGATTCAGTCGTACGCAAGCGCGGGGGGGGGGGGGCGTTAGCTTTTATTTGTAATTGCGGCGGCCAGCTAATAATTGCGGCATCAAATTGTAGCCTGGAAACTGGCATTTAAATTTATTTTTACCCTAAGTCTTCTGTTCTCATTGTCGGAGCCAGACGTGTATTTATCGTCTTGACATGGCGATTCAGAACCCCGCGATTTTGGGATATACGAGTTTGTGTCGGGGGGCTATTCCGGAGGCGTAAAGAAATTTGTCAGAGCCTCGCAAGCTCCATGGACCCTGACGAAACCCTGCAAAGCTTTCCCGGGTAGATGTGTGTGTGTATATATATAGTGCGTATATGTGTACATACGTAGACAGTACTCCCTCGTTAACCGCGAGGGATACGTGCTGGAGCTGCTCGTGAATAGCAAATTTCGTGGACAACGATATTGGCCTACGAAATTAATTACCTAAAATAAATACGCATATTGTTTCATATTTTTATTATTTTATTGTTTCCCTTCTACGTGACTTTACCGAAAGAACCAAGAATATAATATAAATACGCAATTAAGCTATTAAATACATGAAAATGATCATAACACCAAAAAAAGTGTAAATACAAATAAATCAACATGAAAGTATCTCATCACATGCTCTCTCATCACTTTCTTTCACTCTCTCTCGACGCAGTAGTTGTGTAGATTTCCAGATGCAATTCGCAGATAGCCAAAATTGCGGACAGCAAGTTTGTGAATAACGAGCGAATTCTGTCTATAGCATCGGTACTGATCTCTCTGTCGCAATCGGAGGTTGGTACCTCATTTCCCGGTTTCCTGAAATCACCACAGCTCATTATCATAAACATCATCATCTCTATCGCCATCATTATCAGCAGTGACGGACTGGGACTAAACGTCGGCCCAGGCATTGGTAAACGCATCGGCCCAAATTCGGGATATGGAGTGGCTCGATGTTGCGAAGTGACGACGTTGTGAGCGTGTTTTTGCCGTGCGATCTCATTGAGCCCGTTCGGGCTGGGTCCCAAAAACAAATGGAATGCCGCTTAGGAAGAATCTTCAGGGCTGCCGAATAGATGGGGACTTAATGCCAACTGAGAGCGTAAATAAGCAATGAAGCGTACACAGTGGTGATCAAATATTTTAATAAATAAAAATACACTTAGATCACATTGGCAATTTCCCCCACACAGACCGGCCCGGCCCCCCACACCGGCCCACGGAATGCACCGGCCCACCGAGCACTTGCCCGGGCTGCCCTATGTCCAGTCCAGGCCCGATTTATCAGCCATTGTAAGTCCACTGCTGGACAAAGGCCTCCCAAAGGCTGTCGGCCATCGCCCACCGTCCCGCCACATCTAACGATCGGCGGCCTGCAGAGCCCGAACGTGGAGCTCGTCCAAGCCGAGGGGTCAAATCGGTTGTTTCCTGCCACGTACAAAATGTTGACATCTGGCTCCTTGACCGCAACGGGGAAGAGATAAGCCTCTCCCTGTAGATGAACCCGCCTCGCGGTGGGGGGGGGGGGGCGTCATGGTTTAACTTTTTCGGACGTCAAACGCATTTCCTATGAGAATACAACGGGGTGGTGATTATTGCCACTGCTCAGGTTTTCGCGGTTGCGTTGTAGCGCTGCGACGTGATTTTCGGGGGGGGGGAGGGGGGTGGTATCAGAATCAGAATCTTTATTTACCCTGGAGAAATCCGATGAGCCATGAAGCTCTCCTCCGCAGATGTTCCCACGAGTCGCTGCGCCCGAATGAGCTCCCCCAGTCCGTGGGACGTCACGTCGTCGCGGCTACAGAGCCGAGAACGCAGGGGGCAAGGAGCCGCGTCTGCCTTTGGCGAGAGTCATCGGGAACCGCGGCGGCCGGCGGGGTGCATCTTTGCGCTTTCCATTTTTCGTAGCCTTCCATGGAATTTCTCAACGGAACCAGACCGACCCCCCCCCCCCGCCTCTTTGTCGCGGTGCCGCGAGCGTGGCGGTGGCGGGGTTGGGGGTTTGGAGGTTTACGGTTTCTTGGAAAAGTAGCTGAACGCTGCCAAGCTAAGCGTAAAAAACAAAAACGGCAAAACGCGGAGAAAACGCGACGGCGATTTAAAAAGTCGCGGACGACGAAGTCGAAACGGGAAGGGCAAGAGCAGAAAACGCGTTGGCGCGTGTCACCGCGCTAGGTCCGGCGCTCGTACGTCGTAGAGCGGCCCTCGACC